TTTCCCCCAGTTTATGTACTTAGCATGACGTCCCATGGGATGGAATGTCCCTTTGGCCAGTTTGGGTCAGCTGTTCTGGCTGTGCCCCCTCCCAGCTTCTTGTGCACCTCCAGCCTTCTCAGTCCGTAGAGCATGGGAAGCTGAAAAGTCCTTGACTAACGTAAGCACTACTTAGCAACAACTAAAACAATGGTGTGTTATCAATATTATTCTCATCCTAAATCCAAAACGCAGCACTGTACCAGCTGCTAGGAAGAAATTAACTCTATCCCTGCCGAAACCAGGACAGCTGTGGAGTGTGGAAGCCCAGAAAATCCACATCTTGCTGGAGGTGATGTCCTGTCGTGGGCTTGTGCTCTGAGAGCCAAGAATTTCGCACAAGAGGTGGCTTTTGAGGGAAGCAGTCATGCCTGTGAGCACTGCTCGTATGTGTACAGTCACAAACCTTCTCTTACAAGGAATCATCTGCATCAACTCACTGGGCACCCACAACTACTCGAGTTGTGCAGGCTTATGCCACCGAAAATGGAATGGCACTTCACCTTCACAAAGCCCCTGGGGTTTTGGTCATGGGAAGGAAGTTTTCATGCAAGCCCTTTCCTTGCAGTTCAGGCTGCAGTGACTGAAAGCAGCCAGCTCACAGAGAAGTGATATGCAGCGCTCTGCAGAGATGATCCCTATCTATGGTCACTGTGGGCAGTGACAGAGAAGCTGAAGCTTGAAGGTGGGCAGCAGTCAGGGAGGTGCTGAGAACCTGTCTGCCCTGGCAAGAACAGATGGGTTGAGCTTTCTCTGCCCACACAAGCTTTAGAAGCACAGGATGGTGCAGTGTGTGGCGCTCTGAGGTGGCTCACTGCAGAGCAGGTTGTGGCTAGCTACAGCCCATGTTCGCTGAGCTGATGTAGTACCTCACTGTGCAGAGTCAGCAGCTTAGGTCTGTTGTGCTAGATCAGAGACCTCTACGCTACTTTCTGTTGACAAGGACAAACCTGGCCTGTGCCAGGGCTGCGTGCTGCCCATACCACCTCACCCTTGTGGTGAATGGGGTACTTGGCCTCTAAGCCTTCTTTGTGTTGAGGCTCCCAGCTCCAGAGGCTGCTTTCCTGTCTTTTGTTTGGGTTTCACTTAGAACTGTAGGGTCACTAGGAGGACTTCTAAAGCAACCATAAGCACACATCGTGTTGCCACAGAACCGCACTAGTGTAAAGGCAGAAGGATGGGGAAAAATCAGCTGGCACAAAGGGTAGTGGTTTTATAGTCAGTTTTAATTTGAACTTGAGCAGTGCATCATCTGACATTGCCTTTGACAATCCTGTTGGTGTTTAACATTTCTTCCCATGGAGCAGAGTGAATCCTCAGGCCGTGCTGGGCAGTTGCAACTCAAGAGAGGAGGTTAAAAGAAACATCAGAAAGGCCCATGTGGCACAGGGACCACTCATCATACCACATATGCTTTTTGCTTCCCATGCCCTTTCTCTTTCCAGGTTAGATGGTAGAGTCTTACTGAAACAGTGCAGGACGTACCTCACCTTAGGCACTCATGAATACAAAATGTAATAGCATTTTATCAGCTTCGAACAGGGAAGCGTGTGACTTAGATTCTGAGGTGATCCAGGCGAGGCAGGTTTTCAACAGTGACAAATGCTGTTGAGAGTCCCCTCAGAGCCTGATGAAGGCTTCTCGTTGGGAGGAGGGTGGGGAGAGAGACTGCTTTGTCTGCTCTCAGAATGGGGCCTCTTATGAAATGTCTCAGATCTGTGACCTGAATCCCCTGCCTTTCCATGATACCTTTCTCAGCTGCCAACACCTCCAGCCATGGCAGTGATTCCAGGGAGTGTCCAAGTGACTCAGACCAGCCTGGTTTGTTTTGTTCCAGGACATCATTCAGTTGCACGTTAGCTGCCCCTCTGACAAGGAAGAGGAAAAGTCCATGAAAGATGGGGCTGAGAAAGAAGAAAAAGACAAGAATAAAGAAAAGGCACCAAGGAAAATGCTGTCTCGAGGTCAGGTGCTTGTTTGAACAGGGCAGGTCCTGTCTTAACCGCTTTGAGGATTCTGCTGGCCAGTGGTACAGTTGTTGGAAGCAGAGCGGTTATCTCTGCTGATGACTGTACAGGAATGTCTCATTTTTATAACATCCTTTCTGGAGCAAAACATGGGGAGGGAGGGGGAGGGTTTCTCTAGATTGGCATGTGCCCCAACAGACTTGCAGGCTTCCTGTATAGTTTATAGTGATCTGGTGGCTTTTTAAATATGCAGTTGCAAGTCCAAGAAGACCCACTGTATAGACTTCTGCTTTCGGTTTAGATTTGATTTTATAAAAACTGCCATAGGTGGCAAGATGTGAGGTTGCAAGGAGGTGAGCTAAGTTTCTGTTGTATGATCCTGCTTGTATGATTTTCGGGCATAGAAATGGCTAAAAGATACACATTTAATCTGGTGGGCAAATTGCACCCGAAATCCTTGTACAGACAGCAACTCTGCACTGGTGCAGATTCAGTTTAATTTACTGTTTTTTCTGCGATTACTTTTAAATTAAAAAGGGTGTGGGGAGAGGGGAAGAACGGCCAGCAGGGCTTTCCAGTTAAATAGCTTGCGGGATCAAAGGTGCAGAAGTTGCTTGTACAGAATTATGGTATACTACACTTGCAGGGGCCTCCTGTAACAGCATGGTACATCCTGAGTGTGCTCTGAGTGGTTGGTTTTAGAGGCAAGGTTTCCTTCCATGAACTGACCTGATCTCTCTCTCTCTGGCATCCTCCTAATGGGGCCTTGTGCTCATAGTATCTTGCATGTAGCATACTGATCCTCCTGCTGCTTGCAGGGGAAAGGGTATACAGTCCCTATTTTACAGATTGAGAAACTTGACCTAGAGGTTGCATTCAGAGCCTGTGCTAGAAACTGGACTTGAGCCCAGGTGATATGGGTCCCAACCTGTGCAGTTCTGTAACAAGGTGGGCTTTTCTTCCTCTCTTCCTGTTGTGAATAGTCGGTGCTGAGAATGAGGCTGAATTTCCTCCGGCAGCAATGTGGGGACGTCATCCTCATGCATGTAGTGAGACACACACCTCTTCCCTTCAGTCTATTCTATTGCAGTGTTTTGTTAATTTGTTCTGCTGCTGTTGTTGTTTCAGATTCCAGCCAGGAATATACAGACTCCACTGGAATAGATTTGCATGAATTTTTAGTAAATACACTGAAAAAAAACCCACGGTAGGTCCCTAGTCAGTAAAACAACTTGCTGATGGAGTTAAGGGAGGGAGTACCTGGCGACCAATGCTTCTTTGATTGACTCTTAAACCCATGGTGTTTGTGTGCATGTATGTATATGTATGTATGTATTCATGCATCTTGGGAGGAGGGATACTACAGCAACTAAAGAAAGTACCTGAAAGTGTGTTTTACTTTTTGGAATTCAGAAAGCGTTACTAGAGCTGGAGCAGTGTAGAAACAAAAAGCACAACTGTAATTTTATATACTGCAGTCAATCAAAACATGTAATTGTGTATTACGGAGAGAGAGAAAGAGGAAAAATAATTTGTTTGAATGCAAGCAGGAAGGAATCTTGATTGCTTTAAAACCCTTTCTGTAAATGATTGTCAAATACCAACCTCTAAAGGAACCGCTGCTGTGTCAGTAATAAATGTAATCAAGCCAAATGCTGGCATAGGAATAGCAAAGCTGGAGTCTCTACCAGTGGAGCTTCCAGCAGAGCAGAGATTCAGTATTACCAAAAGCCAAGCACTGTTAGCAAAACAACTTTAAACTGAAAAAAATCTGGCAATTAATTTACTATATATGAAAAAATTTGGAGTTTTTTAGTTCATTCCTGTGGAGGATGTGTGAAGCCTGGTTAATAGTGTTGCTTGCTCCAGGTATTTGTGACTTTTCTCTGTTGCAGGGAGGGGGGTACCAAGCAGAGAAAGCTGTGTTTCACTGTCTCTAAAGGTGGCCTTTTCCCTTTTCTTTTCTTGACAGGGATAGAATGATGCTACTAAAGTTAGAACAGGAGATTCTGGAATTTATTAGTGATAACAAGTAAGTGATCATCAGTTTGTGTCAAGCAAAAGAGGTTTGTAACTTACAGTTTAGGAGCTTGGGCACCCAGGGGAGAAGGGTGTCTTTTGGACACACTGGTTAGGAGGCCTGTTCTGTTGTACATCCTCCACCTCCCATACACAAGGTTTCTGAGTATCACATTGATTTGGTATCAATTGCTTTAACACCATATCCACTGTGAAGGAGATTAGTGCCATTGTGCTTCTCTTCCTAGCGTAAATTGGGGGTGGAGAAACCAGGGGCAGGATTCACATCCCAGAACGTGAGGTAGAATAGGTGTCTGCAGCAGAGCTTGCAAACTTCTTTATCTAATAGGATCAGAGAAGTTGCAGTATAAGTACTAATTCTGGCTCCTATTCCTGCTTAGAAACAAACATGCATTTCTGCACAAGCTGGTCTTGTTTCAGGAAAAGCCTATTCAACTTGAGCCCTTGAATCAGCCCAACTCTGTCTGGAAAAGCAGTATAAGCCCATGCTCACACTCAGTGTAAGAAGTAGCACTTGCGTCCTGACTGCTTTGAATAGGTGGCATGGTCTGATCTGGGATCTGGTTAAGGCATCTCTGACCTTGATCTCTCTTTTGGTGTCAGATTATTGTTATGTGTTTCAAGGCCTTCTAAATTCTAATGCTTTCTCCCCTCTTCTCAGCAATCAGTTTAAGAAGTTCCCTCAGATGACCTCATACCATAGGATGCTGCTGCACCGGGTAGCTGCCTACTTTGGCATGGACCATAATGTTGACCAAACCGGGAAGGCGGTCATTATCAACAAGACCAGTAACACACGAATGTAAGGGGGAGGGAGGGACGGGGGGAGGGAGAACAACTGGGCTGGCATCCCCTTCCCTTCCCTGCATGGTGCTACATGACCCCCAGACACAGAGCCCTGGCATGGTCCAGAACAGGATGGATTCCACACCACATTTTTTTGCCTCCATAAGAAGGGCAGGTCCCCTCTCTAGAAGAGAAGAATCCTTCACTTCCAGTCCTAGGTGTATGTATTTGCAAGCCCTTCCTAGCTCTCTTTAGTTCTCAGAGAAGGGGCAGGAGCTCTTGTTGCTATCAGACAGAGGAGAGATTTAACACAACAAACATATTTGCACACCCCCTCACTTCCTGCAAAGCAGTGGTTTTATGAAGACAGTTCTATGCCCATTTTTGCCCTTCTAACAAGGGCTGGTTCTTCCTGCAGCCCCGAGCAGAGGTTCTCTGAGCACATCAAAGATGAGAAGAATGCAGAGTTCCCACAGAGGTTTATCCTAAAACGAGATGATACCAGCATGGACCGAGATGATAATCAGGTAAGGGGTGGCAATGGGGTATCTGCATACTTTGTGAAAGTCAAATGCGACTTTTCTAAGATGAGAACAACTCTGAATTTCTCTTGGGTTTCCTGCAGTAACCTTCTTTAATAGAAGCTTCCACCCCACCCAAGCAGCAGCATCTAGATGTATCATGAAAACTTTACAAAATACGGTGGAAATGCATGAAGAATTTGTGTGGGTTCTATGGGGGGTACTTTTCTGTACCCTGAATATCAACTGGTGGCTGGGCCAGGCTTTAAGGTGAAGCCTTTTGCTAAGGTTTCCTTGGAAATGCCACAGAGCTGAGTGTTGCCAAGCATCTCTCCTACCCCTCCCCGGGGTTTGCAGCGAGTCAAGCTGTGAAGTCGTCAGGACCTCGCGGTGCTGCTGGACGCAAACCATTGGCAAAATGAAACACTTTGAGCTCAGCAGCATTGCCAGTCATCAGAGCTAAAAACCCTCCTGAATCTCTGGCTGCCTTCGGGCTGTCACAGGTGGCACCATACCCGTAACGCAGAGCTAGCTTGTTCATCTGTGGCTGTTTTCCCAGCCTGTGTCAGACAGAATCTTGAACGTCTAAAACGGAGCAAGAGACAGGAGACCTCTTCACCAGGGATCTCATGCTCTTTGCTCTTGTAGCTCCCATCTTTACATCGCCCCAGCATACCACTATCCCTTGCTTTGGGTCATGTTTCTGAACTTAAGTCATCAGAATGGGGAGCTGGTCATTGCAATCGGTATCAGTTTCTGGTTTCCCCATGGTGGCATTCTGCAGGTGATGCAGCTACCCACGAAGCACAGAATCCATGACTGAGCAGGAGTTTGCTGTGTTGGCATATGCTCCAAAGAGTGGCCTTTAGCTTTTGACCCCTGGGAACAGACTGTCTTTCAGAAGCACATGGTGATATTCCTGATCTGTCCTTTCCGAATCAGGCAGAGTTCAGGCAGAGTGGTTGTGCTTGATCCAGGAGGTGGAGTGCACTAAGACCTCCAGGATGTTCATCCCTAGACATAGGTGTCCAGAAGGTAGGTTCAAAGGCAGAGGCTGTGTCATTGCATCCAGGCATCATGCACACACTCCGTAATCCACATCCACTTACACTGCTACATAAAAATATCGGCAGCTGACTGCACCCTCTGCTCCCATTGGCAACTGCTGACCCGCTGAGATGTGTTTGTCCCTTCAGATCAGACTCCCCTTGCAGGATGGGAGAAGGAGCAAATCTATAGAAGAGCGAGAGGAAGAGTATCAGCGGGTCAGGGAGCGGATATTTGCACGAGAGGTAAGCTTGGATGATTCACTTGCCAGGTACCCTCCTGGAACTTTGTGGCTGAAGGTGTCCTTGAGTATACTAAGACGTCAGATCTCGTCATTGCCTTTTCTACAAATTTCCCAGTGTTCTTGGTATCTACCATTGAATTCCAGCTCCTAACAAAGATGTCTAAGACATTGAGATAGAGGAGCCACACCTCCACTCCCCAGTCTGCTCCTTCCTTAAATTGCCTGTTTCAAGGGGCAATAGGCCTGTGGGGACTGACAGAGGAGGCAGTTTTGCTCCTTGCTGCCCAGCAAGATTATAAGCTTATGCAGTGGCATTTCTGGGATGACTAGCAAATCAATCGATGAACCTGAAAGGAGCAGCAGCTGTCTTCCTCAGCTTCTCTCCAGTGTTGCAGCTTTGACCTCCTGACCAAGCAGTGCTGGCATTGGAGTATCAGGCAGGGCTCTGTGCCTTTACAGGATGAATCTGGGCAGTACATTTATTGTCTTTGTTAGGAAGTGTCCAGCTTGGTTATTGCTTCCTTGAGATCTTTGCTCCCTACGTGGAACTCCTCTGAGCCAGAGCTGTGTTCCTTGCTCATGTCTGGCTCAGAGAGGCTGCTGTGCTCTGTTGTGTTGAGTACTGTCTGCCAGCTGGAGGCAGCTTTCCATGCTGTGCCAAGTGGCAAACAATGGAATCAGGGACAATTCCAAGTGCCCATCTGCCATGGATTACGTTCAAAGTCCAGCTTCTTGCCTGCTGCTTTTGAGCATCTTGGGGACAACACCTTTCACTTCTCCTAATGGGAATTGCCATGTGCCTGCCCAAGGAGGATGTTAAGGCAGTCACTGTGCTGAGTCCCTAGTCAAGTCACCAGGCTTCAGCTGATGACTCTCCAGCCAGTTGTGATCATGGATTTGTCTTACATGCACAGGCCCAAAGCCATCCAGACATGTTAGTAAGCAGCTCTGCCTATAGTCCTGGACTAGAGCAGGTGCTGTCCCGTGTTAGCACAACACTGGGTGGGCATGTACTTACCTTGCTCTGTGTTCATGGGCTGAGCCAGTGCTTTGCATGTGACTTCCAGAGGCAGGGGTGACTATCACAGGATGAGCTGGGCTGGCTTTGAGCCCTCTGCCTTTTTTTCATGGCTCTGATAATTGTGCCTGCATTTAGCAAATAAGGACCCTTGTATGTCTAGCCTTGATTGTTTCATTGACAAAGCTACCATCAAAGCTGCCTTAGAGCAATGAAATAGAGAGTTGAGGACTTGGATTTGCAAACTCTTGAGAGATCTCAGGGTCATAGGTATCAGGAAAGGTTCCTTGTGGGCCTGGATGGAGAGTCAAATGGGACTGGTGTGCAGAAGGCTCAGCAAGACTCCTGAGTGACCATGTAACTGGTGCACAACACAAACTGTGTCTGACTCCCATACTGTTAGTGCTTTGCTCCTCTCTGCTTTGAAATTGCCTGGGTTTGTTGCTTTCAAAGTTACTAAGTCTGCCTTTTCTTTCCTTCTCTTCCCATCTCCATGTCTTTTCCGTGCTTCCAGACTGGCCAGAATGGATATCTCACCGACAGCAGGTTAGTACTGTTCAGCAGACATTATTTGTATCTCTGGCTTTCTCTACGGAGGACTGCATGACTCTATAATGATGCTTTTTTCTGATGTTAACCGACAGAATCTCCAAAGAAGGCTTTTCTTCTAGTTCTCACAAACGGAGGCAGATTTTTAGGTATCTCTGTGTGACTTATTTTGTACATTGTCCTGCTGAGTAAGTTTGCCCCATGCATGGCTGCTTGTGAAGTTATTGAAGTTGTATTTTTTGCAACATCAATTTCTGAGCCCTTTTTTTCTGATTCATCAATTAAAATGGAGGGGTGGAAGGTGGGAATGGCAGGGAGGAATGGGGAAGCCAGAGGATTCCAGCAGTTTTCAAACCATTCCACCATATCAAAGGATAGGAAAGCCCCTGCTCTTACAGTGACGGGATCAGCATCCAGATAAGGTGGGGTTGTCCCTAATCCCTGATTATAAAGGCTGGACTACTTAATGGTGGCAATGAAGTGTCTCAAGCTTCCATTTCAACCAGAGTATGCTGCAGAGGGCACTGGGAACATGTTTGAGCAGCAATTTCTTATTAAGTAGTTTTCCTGTGGATGAAAGGGCTGGAAGGATGGGGTTAGCCTGACGAGCCACCTTGCACAGACCCCTGCTGCAGGAGGCTGCTGAAGGTATGAGGATAAAGAACAGGATGAAAATGGAGAGACCCTCATGCCTGCTGTCCTCTCGTTTAATAGCCAAAGCTCTAGAGATGAAGTATCTCTGTGTATGAACAGGACAGGAGGATCTAAGCAAGTGTAGGAACAGCTTTGCCTCTCTCCTCAGTCCGTCACGTGGCTCAGGCTGTCCTTGGAGGGACACTGTCGTGGAAAATAAAGTGTCCTCAGCACAGTTACAGGGACTGTGGCCTGGAGTCTGCCTGTGGCAGTGGTGTTCAAGGCAGGTGGTATAGTTTTCAGATCAGCCATGAGGCTGTAGTAAAACTCACCCAGCAAGTGGCAAAACAACCTGTTGCTGATGTGATTGCAGCTTTAGGAGCTGAGCTGCAGCCAGGGCTGCGCTAGGAGCTTTTCTGACTGTTGTGCCCAGTCCCTAAAGAGCTTGGTTAACCTGCTGTCTTTGTTTTGTGGTTCCCATAGTGGGGAGAGGGAGGATATGTGGGCCTTGGGACCATTTTGAGCTCTGGACAGAGATAGACAAGCTCTTGAGGAGACCAGGGTTCCCTCAGTGGTGGTGCTGGAGATGATGTCTGTGTGAACTCCAGAGACTTACCGCCCTCAAAGCCTGGCATTCAGAGCAACACAGCTGTCTGTTTCACTCGCTTGGAAGCCCTGTATTAATGCTGCTGAAGCACAGATCTGACTGCAGAGACCTCTCTGCTGGTGGACACACTTGGAAACAGGCTGTAGTAAGGCTAATGGAGAGAAAGGCATGGCTGAAGCTGCAAGGGCAGTGCTGTCAGAGAGCAAGGGTGTGTGGTAGTGTGCCTGGAGTTTGGAGGGCATTCATAGAAAAAGCAGAACCATTATGCTTCTGGGTTAACAGTAATCAGCTTGAGAGGAGTCTGGGTTCTCAGGGAACCAGAGTTTGCAGCTGAGTCAGAACAAAAGCCATGACATGCTCCTTCCCTGCACACACAAACACTGCCCCCACCTCTCTGAACATCCCCAGGAGCAGCCTTCAGAGTTTAGGTTGGAGAGAGCCGAAGAGCTTGACAGTGATGCTTGTTAGATCAACTGTAATTTGGGGTTTGAGGCTGCATAGTCCAATTCCTTCACCTCTTTAGGGATATAATCATTGTACTGGTTTTCCAAGAGATGTATTTTCTTTGGCTCTCACATGCTCCCAGAAGCCCAGGACGTCACCTCAGAAGTTCCTTCCACGCCTATCTTTTCCTCTCCACAACTGCGTGGAGCTGCTGCCAGGCTCAGCTTGCAGCATTATACAAGCACCTCTTCCAGTGTTGCCTTCCTCATCATTCCTCCCCAGTGAAGGCCCAGGAACCCATTACTGTGCTTATGATCGTTAGCTGGGCTGATAAACCAGGCTCACTGCTTGGGTTGTTTTGCTGATACTATGTAAAGTCCTGCTGTGGCCAGACCTGGCCTAGGGCTAAGGGAGGGTGATCAGTGGCAGCACAGCTCTAAGCGTTGCAATATCCCAACATGTAGCTGTTCCATCTGGGCAGAAAGCCTTACCAGGGCTGGTGTGGAAAGTGATCTTGCAAGATCTCTATCAGCCTTGTCTCAAGGCCTCTGTTAAAAGCTCCCTGTTCTGAGACAAGGAGGGCTTTAGCAAGGGATCATGCTCTGACCCTGCTGGCATCTCTTCCAGGCTGGGATCTGGCTGGGGAAAAGGGCCAGGAGCCAGCTCTCAACACACGCCAAGGAAGATCAGCAGTGTCTGGGTCTTCACAGTGCATGCCCAAGAAAGCTGTGACCCAGGGTGTGTGTTTGCTGTCAGATCCTCATACAAAGTGCTAACATGCTATGTCACAGAGCCAGCTGCTGACTGGGCTCACCACCCTGGTGTGGCAGTACTGATGCAGCACCTGCAGGTCCTGCTGCTGCCCCTTTCCACTGGAGGTGCGGTCTAACTCCTCCGGTCTCTGCAGGGGCAACCGGGACAGTTTGAACCGGGCCTCAGGCAGCCGCCAGAGCAGCACAGAGAGTGAGATAAAGTCGCTGGAGCCTCGGCCGTGGAGCAGCACAGACTCAGATGGCTCCATCCGCAACCTGCGACCACCTGTTACCAAAGCCAGCAGCTTCAGTGGCATCTCCATCCTGACACGGGGGGACAGCATCGGGAGTAGCAAAGGCAGCACTGCCAGCAGAACATCCCGGGCAGGTACTGTATTGTTGCCCCTGCACACCTTCTGCCAAAAGGCACCTAGCAGACATAGTCTTCGGGCTGGGGGACTGGGGCTCATGATGCTCTGGTCAGTGACTCTGATTAAAATGGGACATGGTTGGCATCGTCTGAATGTGTTCAGTACCTGGGCAGGGATATGCCAGTTTGTTCATCATCTGCTTTTTCAATACTCACCATCAGATCTTCCTTCCCTTTAGCAGAGTTATCTAAGACAAAGGACATTGTTTAGTCCCATACCCTGGAACTCAAGCTACCAATTTTCTGTTGTTTTCTCTCTCCTGCTGTGTTGCAAGTTATGTTGCCATTCCTTTCTGCTCCCCAGAATCCCTCACAGCCCTAAGGAGACTTAGTCAGGGTGAACCATCTGGCACTTTTCCTTGCTTTCCAACAAAGGAGGTCCAGGGAAGGGTGTCACCAATTAGTCGATCTCATCAGATAAAGACTGTGTTAATTGGTATCTGCCTACGATGTTCTCTCAAAATGATTCACTATACCCCTGAGAGCAAATACAACAGCAGGGAGCTGGGCCTGCAGCTCTTCAAGAGCTGTTGAGTACAGCTCAAGGTTTCAGGAGCACCAAAGGGAATTAGGATCACAAGTCTCTCTGCCTGCTTCAGATCAGTTCTTCCTTTTCCATCTAGGTAACACAAAGGGTAGCCCATGCACGGAGAATGTTACTGTGGGGCGTCACTAGTAATCTGTTACTGACAACAGCTTCCTGAGAGGATGTGTGTTGCACTTGGCAGGGCACCAGCCCTTCTATCAGTGGGGAGCAGAGTCCTTTATTTTCAACTGACTGCTTGTGAAAGGCATTTGTGGAAGAGGCAGCACAGGTCTTTGCTCTCATTTTAATGGTCCAGTGATAACTGAGGAGCCATATGGTAGCTGGTTACAATTGCTGTGCAATATCAATGAGCAAAATCCAGTGTTGTCTCACTGTCTAGCTTCCTCTGCTCTCACTGGTAGGCAGCAGGTCCCCAAATGCTTGAGAGCTGTCATTTTACTGGGGAGGGGAGGCAGATTGGTGCTTGTGGGTGATTAGACTGCTCCACAAGAATCCTTTCAAATAAAAGTGATGGATCTAAAAGGCAGCCAGGCTGCTGTTCTAGCACCCAGGCTGGCCTTGAAAACCACACATTCATCTTGCAGTTTGAAGGTGCCTGCATCATCTCTTGGGACCCTGTTTCCATTGCGCTCAGGGCTGCACTTACTTTGATTATTGCAACCACCTCCGGGACTGATTCATCAACTGATGGGAGCAGTTATTTGAAGATCTGTCCCAGCTGTGTGCAAAGCAGAGCAGGAGAGGATCTGCTTTTTTGCTCTTTCTGTATTTTTCCTCCAGGTCTCCCCTGGGAACAGAAGCCAGTTGCTCTCCAGGCTTTATATAATGGCGAGTGATTAAAAACGTCTTGGGGGGGGGAAGCAAATGAATTTTCACTTGGGGGGGGGGAAACAAACAAACCACCCTCCATATCCTCATATTTATTCTGTGGGGGAGGAAGTGCTTAGGACTCTGGGGCTCTTTTCCCATCTCAACATTCAGCCCCTGGGCAACTGTCAGCAAAATCTTTCCTTCTTTGCACCGTGTGGCTGATGATACAGACCTCCTTAGCAGAATACCTGAAGATTAGCTGTTGAAATGCAGTAGATCAGAGGCAGAATTAGTTAAATAGTAGCTACTGGGCATCAAGCAATAGTTTCACAGCCCTTTTATTTCTGGAAGTAAGACTGAAATACTGAGGAGAGCACTTCCCAGCTGGGTGTCCTGCAGCATGTATCGCACTCCTTCCTAACAATTTTTCCTACCATGGGAAGGAATTGCTTTCAGCCTGCCATCCCCTAGCCTTTTGCTCAAAAGATGTGCATGTGCTGCGTCTATGTGGCCATAAAATAGGATTCCCTCACTTCCCTCTCTGTTCTGGGCAAGCACTCGAACAGATCATCATGACATATTAGTGTCCAAGCAGGGGCCGTGCCTAGCTGCAGAACTGAGCTGTGACTGGGAACAGCTCTCTTGCTTCTTTCCACAGACTGGTTTACGGTACTGAGCTGATGTGAGTGTATCTGGCAGCTCCCTGTTTTTGTAATCTCTGCCTCATGCTGGAGTGGAGAGCCCTCCGCCAGGCAGGTGCTGCTGTTAACAGCCAGATTCGTCTTCCCAGCAGAAGGCCCATGGCATTTATAGAAGGCTCTGACTTGTGCCTGATGCTTTCCAGACAAGACAGAGGGCACATCCCTCCAAAGAATCAGTTGCAACACAGATGTGTTTTTACTACCCTGTGCCAACCCTGCCAGCACCTGCACCAAGCATGCACTGTCCTGTGGGCAGAGGCCAGCTAGATTCGTCATATGAGCCTGACATTGGCCTTTTAATTTCCTGCAGTTCTGAGTAGTGTTGAAGGTTTACACAAACAACAACTACCTGAGAGCTGTGGGTGGGGACCACTGTGTAGGCTGTCCACTTGGAGTAAGGGTGCTAGGTTGGGGTCAGGGAAGAGAGCACACTCTTGGGAATAACACTATACAACTCGTGGCCATGGTCTGGAACAAGAATTGCATCCTGGTCTTCCCTGGGAGCAGGGCATGCACGGGTCAGGGGGAGAAGAAGATGCTGTGACCAGCTGTGGAGGGTCAGTGTATGGACATGGACATGGAGAGGAGAGGGGTACAATCACTTGGAGTCCTGAGGGTGTCAACACCTTGGTTTGCTGTGAAGCAGAGGCAAACTAGTGACTTAGCCTGCAGCCTGCTCACCCTGTCCCCCGTGGAAGCTCCCATGTGGACAGCAGAGAATGCAGTCTGGCTGCAGTGCAGGAGATAGTGACAGGATCTTCCCCCCGCCCTTCCCATCAACGAATCGATGTTTTTCTCTCCCAGGTACCAACCCTGCCATGCTTTTCTCTGTTCAAGGTTTGGTACTAGGTGCCCCTGAAGCATGCAGCCAATCCCCTTCTTCACAGCCCAGCCGTGGCCTCCTACCCTGCACAGCCCAGCAGCCTCAACCACAGCCACCCCAACAGCCACCACCGCAGCCCCAAGGACTTCCACCTGCAGCCCAGCAGCAGCCAGCCATGAGTAACCACATGATATCCCAGGTGAGTTGCTGCACAGTATCCCAGGCTCAGTAAGCTCCTTGGGCACACAGGAGGGAGGTAGAAGCAGAGCCAGCATACACCCAGGGTGCTCTGGACTCACACTTGCCCAGTGGGTTTTGGGTGTCCTCACACTTGCTGCCTGTTAGGGAGTGACAGTCCCTCTATGCTATTGGCAGAGAGCAGGAGAAGGTCGGGGGCCTTGCTGTGCCTGAATATCATGCTGTGCAACATCTCAACTTGCCAGCCTCTTCTGTATCTGCTTGGGCCAGCAGCCCTCCTAGGAAGGGATCTGCAACCCTTTGCTGAGTGGCAGGGTTATGTTCTGGAACCAGTTGCCCTCCTGGTGAAGGACTGTCACAAACGGTAGTTGGGTTTGAGCTCCCCAGTGGCTGGTCACCTGATGTCCTGGGAAGAGGCAAACCTGGAACTGTGCCTGAATGTATCCTCCAGACTCTCCCCAAGTTAAATCCAAGTGATGTTCCACAGCCTGCAGGGCTATTTCTGAGGATGGACCCCTCTGGAAAGCACTCAGGGCTGTCATTCCTACATACTTTGTTCTGCTCCTGAGGCTGTAAAAAAACACAGCACAAGAGCTGCCCCTGTATCACTGCAGGACTGGGGAAGGGGTGGGAGCCAGCCCTGGTGGGCATGTTTGGAGAGAGCAAAGCTGCCTCGTGTTCAGTGGGTGCAGAGCTGGGCAGTGTGCATGGGAAGTATCCTCAGTACCTTCCCATCCTGCCCTATTCAGAGCAGCACGTTAGTGCTGGACCTCAGCCTGCCTATGAGTTTTATAGGGATCCTTTCTGGTGCATCGTCTCATGATGTCTCCTACAACAGAGAACTGCAAGTTACACTGGAGGTTTTCAAGATGCAACTGGACAGGGAGGGTGCTAGATAATCTTATCTAGGCTCCCTTTCCCATAAAAGGTTGGACCAGATGATCTTCTGAGGTCCCTTCCAACCTGGGCTGTTCTATGATTCTGAGTGTTTTCAATGGGATGGGATGGGAGGAGGAAACAAGCCTCCTCGAACAGCTTTTACTGCAGATAACACGAACAGCTCCTTGCTGTCTGTTGCCGTCTGTATGAGGATGGGGGGAGCTTGTAGTTCTTGGGCCCTGGACTGGCTCCAGGTTGTGGTCTGTTTGCAGAGGATACTGAGACTCAAGGGAAGCATCTCAGTTCTACAGATGAGGTGTCTCCCTGAGGTAGCCAGGGTCCAGTGCTAAGTCTAGCAGGAGTGTCTGTCTGGAGCTGTAGCATGGCATGGGACAGAGCACAGTGCCCTGGGTGGGAGGTTTGAACACACAGTAGGCTTCTGGAGCTTGTGCAGGATCACTGTGTCTTGCTGGGGTTTTATTTTGTACCTTCTACTGTTCAGCTGTTTTAATGGTTTAGGTCCTGGAAAAACTTTTTTCATGTGTTCATGTGAAAGGTCTGAAAATGCACTGTCCCCCATGTGCATGCACCTTCTGTTTCACCAAAGGTCAAATCAAATGATCAAAAAAACAATCCAGTGCTGACCATTACAGGTTCAGTGCCCAAAGCACAGTATGTGGTTCTTGAGTTAGGTGTTGTCATAAACAGGCATCAGCAGGTCCTCTCAGTGACAAAGTGAGAGGGGCCCCTACAGAAGGCAAGAGTGAAGAAAAGACATTACCAGCACAAAAGGCCAAGAAGCACTGCAGAGAGAGCTGGGAGTCAGTGCCACACACAAGTGGGCAGTGGAGTGGGAGAGACACAAAGGTTGTGGTGAGGGGAAGTGGCTCTCCTGCTGCTGTTGGCCATAGCTGGTCTTTGTGAACTTGTGTCACTGTTCATGCCAGGCAAGAGCTGCTTTGTGGACATGGCCAGCCTTCACAGCTTCCACAAAGCAACTGGCTGGGTTGTGTGTCTTCACAGAGAGATGAATGCTCCCCCGTTCTGGTCTCCATGCTTTCCAGCCCTCTGCGGTGCCCCCCTCTGTGTGTTTGCAATTGGCTCAGTTGACTAACCTTGTTGTTCCTTCTTTCTCTCCTTCCTCCTATCCTTCCTTCCCCCTCCCCACCCTTTTCCCACCCAAATCTCTCTCCTCTACTCCCTTCTCTGCTGGTCTTAGCCGGTCCCAGCGCTGCAGCCTGTTCAGTATTCTCCAAGCTCCTGCCCCCAAGTCCTCTTGCCAGTCTCTCCACCCCAGCAGTACAACTTGGTATAAACCCCATTTCCTCTTCTTCACTGTCTCTGTTCTACTCGTGCTGTGTTTGTGTTGTATGAGCTTTTGCTAATCAGGTATGTCGCGGACACTGCACCCGGTGGGTTTGGGATTCATGGAGGCTCTGTGCTGCAGTGGGGTCAAGGCAGTGGGATGCCTCTGAGGCTGTGGGACCACCAGGGCTGGGCACTGCTGGAGTGGCTGATGTTGGAAAGAGCCTGGGGAAGAGCAAGTGCCAAGCCCAGAGTTCCACCAGGAAGCGACGCTTGTGCCCAGCACTGGGGTCCAGGGGCCATGGCTGCCCTGTGGTCTCAGTCAGCACCTGTGTTGTCTCCACTGGGTCTTTCGGGAACAGCGCGCCCCATGGGATACGGCCTCTGGGCTGGGGCCACCCCTGCCTGTGTGGGGTCTCGCATGTCACGAGTGTCCGCTGAGCATTCGCACCCCCCAGCAGCTCGCATGGCCCTAGCCCCTGTCCTGCAGAATGCTCTTGGTCTGTGGCTCATTTCTGGGGACCTTTCTTGGGTGAGCTCCCCCACACAGAGTAGGGAGAAGGGGTCTGCAATCTACTCAGCAGAGCTATGTCCTACATGCTGTTGTCCTACATGCTGTTGTCCTACATGCTGTCCTCCTCCATCCTTCCCATTTATCGCCAATGCAGGCCGACGAACTCAGCAACCCCTTTGGGCAGATCAGCCTCAGCCGACAGGGCTCTACGGAAGCACCAGATCCTTCCTCAGCTATGTTCCAGTCATCCCTCATCTCCCAGCATCCTCAGCAGACAGGATTCATCATGGCAACCCCTGGGCAGCCCATTCCCACCTCCAACTACTCCGCCTCAGGGCACACGGCCCCCACACAGCAGGTGCTGCAGCCCCAGGGCTACATTCAGCCTCCCCAGCAAGTAAGGACATGCGCAAGCCTGGAGGGGATGTGCACCTCGGCCCAAAGCTGTCAGGCAAGGGGCTGCTGGGGAGCAGTCCAGAGAACAGTTCCTTGAGAGTAGGTCCCCTCTTTTTCTGCTGCTCATTTGTGATGGATCATACACAGGGGTCCAAGCTTCAGGTCGGCACGCACCCTTGCTAGGCACAGGATGATCTCTGCCCCCTTGTCCTTCTGAGCTCACAAGGCACTTATCTGGGGACCACTCTGGCCATTCCTGGCTCATAGTGTTGGGGGAGGGACAGTGACCAGACTCAGGGCTGACACCTCTAAGCTCTCTTTGGGGTCCCGCAGGGCATTATGACCTCTAGGATTGTTCCCCTGAGCTGTGATGAGAATTGTGCCTACTGTGCTCTTGCACTACTGTGCTGGGAAAGGCTTGGATGTGGAGGCTGGGAGGAGCGGGAAGGGGCTGCGGTTCCCTGAGGAGCTATCATCTGGCCAGAGCCAAAGCCCTGGTTGGTTTCCTTCGGCAGAAGCCAGGCCAGGTGAGAGAGAAAACTGGTCCTGGGGGACCAGCTTTATTGGTCCCACTCCCTCTTGTATTCTCATCACAGTGTTTTCTTGATTCTGATAGATTCAGGTTTCATACTACCCTCCTGGGCAGTACCCGAACTCCAGCCAGCAATACCGATCTCTCAGTCACCCAGTGGCCTACAGCTCCCAGCGCACTCAACAGCTCCCCCAGCAGTCCCAGCAGCCTGGTAAGGGGGCGTAGAAGGGGGGAGGGGGCATGTTTCCCTTTCCTTCCACTCTTGTTGGCTCTTAAGGACCTCCCATGCGCTCTCTGGGGCCAGGCTGCTCTTCCCTGTCTCCTACTCTTTGCTGGACTTGCTGACTAGAGTGCCTCTTAACTGTGCAAAGGAAAGTTGAAAATTGGCCTGGCTGCAAAGGCTGTTTTAGTCTTTTCCCTCCCTCTCAGCATGTAGCTTGCACTGAGGTGCTGCAAGGTGGATTTATAGCCAGGAGCTTCCGTCAGGGCTTTTTACATCTGCCGTAAAGGAAACCCTTTTCCCACTCTTTAGCAAGAGGTGGGGGCAAAGCAGGATTTGAGCCCTCATATGCCAAGTCTCAGGCTGTCTCCTGTGGCCAGCTGGGAAGCTGTTCCATTTAAACCCTGTTCTGACAGGTTTACAGCCAATGATGTCCAACCAGCAGCAAACATACCAAGGTGTAATGGGAGTGCAGCAGGCACAGCCACCCGGGCTCCTCAACAGCCAGAGGAACAGCATGGGCGGCCAGATGCAGAGTATGATGGGAGTGCAGCAGGCACAGCCCCCTGGCCTTCTCAGCAGCCAGAGGAGCGGTATGGGGAGCCAGATGCAAGGCCTGATGGTCCAGTACACTCCACTGCCTTCATACCAGGTAGGCATCAGTTGCTCTCTGATGAGGGGCTGCTGAGGAGGGGGCCTCAGCTGTGCAGGCCTTGCAGGGAGTGGCCTGTTCCTGTGCCTGAGTGATGGAGCCAAAGACGGAGACATTCACCTTGAGAAGATAGTGCATGCTTGCCAGCTTGGGGAGGGCACGAACACATCTGAATCTGTGTGGGACATGTCTTGAGAAGGAGGACTGAGCACGGCTGGTCCCTTCGCCATTGTGTTCGCAGAAGAGCTGGGAGGGGCTGCCCTTGCCTGGGCAAGATTGCTCTGGGCTGCAGTAGACAACCATCTGGCATCTCTTCTACCTTGTATGGACCTTGCTGGTGTCTCTTTGGGGCCAGTTCTCCCTGCTGCTGCTCTATGTTACCTGTCATTCCATAGGGCTGCTTCTTTCCTCCCTGCACAGGTTCCCGTGGCCAATGAGTCCCAGAGTGTGGTCCAGCAGCCCTTCCAGCAGCCAGTGCTTGTACCAGCCAGCCAGTCTGTTCAGGGGGGGCTTCAGGCTGGAGGGGTGCCCATCTACTACAGCGTCATCCCAACTGCCCAGCAGAATGGCACCAGGTAAAGCTTCTGTTTCTCTGGCCTGCCTTGGGGAGAAAGGGGTCCTGCTGCCCTACTGAAAGGGCATAGCATCCTATTCCTGCAGCTAGAGGAGGTGGCTGGGCACCATAGATGCTGGTCATCTCTTGAGCTTGCCCAGTCCTAGCTCCCATAGTAAGCACTTCCTGGACACGGCTGTCCTCCAGCATGCGGTGCTTCCTGTGCTCCTCCAGAGGCAGCTGTGTTTCCAGCCGTCTCAAGTACTGAGGGAGCTGGTGGTTGCCTGCACAGACGGGCAGGCTGTTTCTCTCCATCGCCAGCACCTCACTAGAGTACTCTCTGCTTCACAGCCCTTCAGTGGGGTTCCTTCAGCCACCTGGGTCTGAACAGTATCAGATGCCACAGTCCCCATCACCCTGCAGCCCACCACAGATGCAGCAGCAGTATTCAGGTAAGAGGGGCCATCAGTCAGGGTTGGCACTGATTCTGCACAGATTGGATCAGGTTTTGTAGGGGCTGCAGTAAACAGAGCTGCCAATTCACAGCCAAGTGGCAGCTTCTGTGCAATGGGTTTCCTTAGTCTTACCCACAGCCCACTGGGAGTTATCAGGACGTGGCACAGCGACTTTGCTCCAGGCTGATGCTGGCCTGTGCCTGGCGTCTCCTTGCCATGATGGGCAGGCAGGGTAAGAGTGGGTAGAGGGAGCTGCTGTGGGCTGCGGACTCCCTCTGCTGGCAACGCGGCTTAGTGTCACCAGGGCAGCTCATGGGACCAGGGAGCACTGTGGATGAGAGGAGCATCAGGATTCCTGCATCCTCTCCCAGCTGCCGGGAAGTGAGCTGGGGCCTGGTGAATTGGTGCAAGAGCTGGAACCAGAATACTGGAGCTCTGCGCCCAGCTCTGTGATTAGATCCTTTGCCTGAAGTTTTGCTGTGATGCTTAGAGAGGTCACCCGAGTTGCCCTCAACTTGTCCCCTCTGCTCGCATTTCTCCTGGATTAAAAGTCATCACTCTCTGATGTAAGCTGTGATATCAGAGAGGGATCCTGACCGGGTCTTGGAGGGGCCTTTTTTCAACCCACCTGGGCAGGCAGGAGTGGCAGAGGAGAGAGTACGGAGGGGGTGTTGTAGGGAAGAGTGCAAAGTTGCACAGACAGGCAGGCTGCCTCTTGTCCCACAGCAAGCAGCAGCAGCAGTGCACAGAGCCTGGGCAATACTGCTGCTGTCGTCTCTCCCCAGGGGTGTCTCCATCAGGCCCTGGCGTGGTTGTGATGCAGCTGAATGTACCCAATGGCCCCCAGACCCCCCAGAATCCCCCTGTGGTGCAGTGGAGCCACTGTAAGTACTACAGCCTGGACCAGCGGGGGCAGAAGCCAGGAGACCTGTACAACCCAGACACCAGTGCTCAGGTATTGAGAGGACTGGGAAGCAGGCAGCTCATCTTTTGGGAGCAGCCTGGCGGGAGAGAGAGGACCCCAGCATCTGTGCTGTCTGGATGGGCTGGGAGATGGGGGTGGGTTCATCCCATGGTGGTGAGACAGGTGTGGGACCAGTCACAAGCATTGGGGCTGTCTAACGCTTTCCCTCCCCCAGGCCAGCACCCAGCTGAACAGCCCCATCACGTCGCCCACCCAATCCCCAACGCCGTCTCCTGTCACCAACCTCAACAGTGTCTGCACGGGGCTGAGCCCCCTCCCTGTCCTCACACAGTTTCCCCGGCCCATGGGCCCAGCACAAGGTAAGGGGAAGGAGTGGGGACAGCACAGGGCCGGGTCTTTCCTGTGATTTCTTCAGACCCCTACCAACATTTGCTTTTTTTACAGGGGTGATGGGCGCTACTCACTGCTGGGCC